TCCATCCCTGGTCAGGGCACTAGATCCCACACGCATGCCGCAATTGAGAGTGTGCATGCCACAAATTCGGAGCCTGCCTGCTGCAACTAAGACCGGTGTACCAAATAAATAAATAAAAATAAATATTTAAAAAATGCACAGAACCTGTTCAAAATATGCACCGGTGAGAAATTACAGCCACAAGTTACTGGGAACTTAGCATACGCAGGCATTGCCCTGAGTTCTTACACGCCCATTGTAAGGTGAAAACTATGGTTCCCCCATTTTACACTTGAGAAAATTGAAGCATAAGGAGGGAGAATGAGTAACCTGTCCACAGTCCAAGCTAGGAAGGGTGAAGCTGGGACTGCACCCTGCCTTGCCAGACTGAGCCCGTGCTCTCCAGCACGCCGGGCAGCACCAGTGGGCCTAGCAGCTGGGCTTGGATAGAAAGTGGGCTGAGTCAAGCACAGAGCGTGCACATTTTCAGCACATTCTAAGAACAGCAGCTCCCCCTTGATGCTCCACGTTAAAACTAATGACAAAAACAATTCCGACGTTCAAACTGGTCTCTGAGAAACTGTTGGGCCTTCAATTCCACAGGCTGGGAGGTGGGCATAATGACAGACAGATTTGGTAGGTAAGGCTGGGGGGAAAACTGCCACCCTGAAAATGTACCCTCTCCCAAGGCTGCTGCCACCAGGACCCCTCAGAAAGTCCTCCTTCACAATGCAGCCCCCACCCTGAGCCATGGCAGCCAGGAACCCACCATGCAACCCAATCCACCACGGTGGGGATAGGGTTCTAGGCCACAGCTAGTAAGTTAAACACAGCTGTGAGCTATTATGCTACAAAGTTGTATCTGCCTTAACTCGCCAGTTTTTTATAAAATTGGTCACTTGTTGGAGTCACTGGGGAACCGGGCAGTTATGGTTCCATATTTGCTAACTTCCATTTTCCTTGCTCTCTGCCAATCCTCAACTCACCATCTGCCTGGCTTCCTCTAAGCCCTGGGCCGATGCTCTTGCAGTCCCCCTTGCAGAAATGAGCAGAAGCCACAGTTCTACCCTCAGTTATCAACAGCAGTTGGAAATCTGAATCTTCAAAGACTGAGCTCACCAGAAAAAACCCTTGCTTTGGGGGAAGTGGTTACACCGCAAAACAGGCAACCGGGTAATCACGTCCCCTTACTTGGTACGCCCTCCTTGGCAATGCGCCTAAACTTGGTCAGATAATGTTCTGCTACAGTGCTTCTCCTCTCATTCAGTCATTCAGTCACTCTTCACTCATTCAACACATATTAACTGAGTATCTACTGTGTTCCAGGCACTGGGATTACAACAGGGTCTCTCAGGATGCAGCCCTTCAGAACCAAGTGAGCATAAACTCCTTCTCTGCCCTGGTGCTTCCAAAGACCTTTGGGAGAAGCCAAGGAGGGAGGCCCACCTGCATGTGTAAGTGGTAGGAGGGAGAGAAGAAAAGAAACTAAAGACAAACAGAACTGCAAAGAAATGCTCAAATTTAACTAGTAGTCTGCTGGTTAATAGTAATACTGATGTTATTTTAAAACTATTATACATATATATCATGGGGTAATACAAAAAAGTCATTATTTATTGTTGTTAGAAACCAGAATTGTCAGTGTAAAAGAAAACATATAAAAACCAAGGGAATTAAGTTAACAATCCTGGAATGTTAGATTTGAATCCTGGAATGTAAGATGGAAAGATGAACGTTGTACTGGTCGTGTTTCCACATGATAAAGTGGTATAACGAACAATCCTGAAATCTCAGAGGCTCACAATGACAACGTTTATTTCATGCTCATCGGTCAGGCGAGTGACTGCAGTTCAGCTAATCTTTGCTGGGTTGGCTGGGCTGTGCCAGGTTAGGCTGGAATTCAGGCTTTGGGTCGGGGTCAGGTCATCTTTAATGTCCTCATTTGGGGACTCGGGCTAAATGCACAATAGCTATGGGTCCCTCACAGAGAGTGGAGGTTCCGAGATGGCTGGTGAAGCTTCCTGCCTCTTACTGGCTCAGCTCACCACTTGCATCCCATCACTTGTGCCCAAGTCACGGGCCAGGCACAAAGTCCATGGGGTGAGGAAATATACACCACCCGCAGGGGAGTCATGACAAGGATGAGGAGGGAAGGAAGGATTGTGGAGAAATAATACTACCTACCCAATTATGAACTCATGACTTTTCCTTTTAAAAAATAAATATTTCCTAGCCCCGTCCACCAAAAAGGCCTAAAAGCAGTGGCAATCCAGTAGCAATGAACATCCTCTCACCCAGACTGCAGGTTTCTAAATACTACCCTCCACTAAAAGGAACCAGGACTCCTGAGGGAATGCCTGATTCCAGGTCTTCAGCAGGAAATTAGCATACCTTGTTGTATCAAAGAGCAAGGAAGCTATCAAAAAATAATGGGATCATGTTAAAAGGATACAGGAGATGACATGAAAGGGCTCCCATTGGTTAGAGGCAGGGTAATTTATGCATCAAAAAGAATAGTGACTACAACTGACTGAAATGGATTCCTAGCCCCACTCTAACCCTATGGAATCAGAATCTCCAAGGATAAAGCCTAGGCATCTGGCTTTTTTTTTTTTTACGGAACTCCTCAAGTGATTCTGATGCACAGTCAGGGCTGAAAGGCGCAGGTTTCCTGATCTTCTGGAAGTCCAGACCACTCACAATGCCCATCTTGCTCTCACATGCTGGCCTCTGCTTCCTGGAAAGTCTCGTCTACATCAAACACACAAGTGTCCCTTATACATGTGCTTCCGACGCTGGGGTGGTCCAGCCATAACGTGGCAGACATCATCAAGGGGAAAAGTTGCAGTTTTCAGTCTGCTAACAGCAATAACAAGAGCAGGAAATCTGGGACAGCTCCCAGGGTGCTCCTTTTAACCACACTTTTGACAATGACAATGAGTAATAAACTCTTCCGTCTTTAGCTAACATATCATAGATCTAAGACATAAAAGTTTAGGGTCTCTCCAGATGCCTCGAAGCAGTTCATTCTTAATCCTCACTCTGCAGCAGAATCACCTGGTAAGCTTCTATACAAAACACAGCTGACTGTGTTCTAGACTCTAACCCAGAGACTCAGATTCCACGGTCTAGGGTGGAGTCCAGGCACCCCGTGTCTCCAAGGCTGCCCAGGTGATTCTGACGTGCAGCCACGATTGAGAACCACAGCTCCAAGCTGGTCTTGAAAGCAAAACATCTCCACCTTAATGTCTTGTGACAACTTGAAACGAGATATGCCCTGAAAGAGGCACCTTCCGAACTGCAGTGCCCTGGGAAAAGTCTCAGTCTGCCCCTCCTTGTGCCTCTGAAGAATTCCCCATCCCTTCCCTCCTACAGTCAGCCCGAACAGCCACCCCAGCCTCCCTGGGCTCACAGCAGGCTGGGCTGTCCTCCTTGATGCTCAGGACAAAGAATAAAGATCCAAGCGTCTAAACTGCTCCAGATCAAAGCTAAGCAGAGCCGGGTTCAGCTGAGAACTAAGGCAACCATCGCACAACTACTTCCCCAAGAGGCTCCAACATGTAGTGTGTTGGGCTGTCTTCTGGTTTTGTTTTTGTTTTTAATTAGAAAGAATGTGTAATCCCACATTAGAAGAAAATAGAAAAAGACTGAAGTCAGCCAGTTCAAAAAAGCAAACATAGTTCTGCCCCCCAAACCTAATGAATACAACACACACACACACACACACACACACACACACACACACCGAAATACAAATCACTGCCATGTCTTCACACAAATGCTGAGTGCAGCTAGCAATACTAGTTTCCCCCTGATGTGTGGTGGGTTGGATGCCAGCTCTAGGAAGGCCTGGATCCTTTGTCTGGCTTTGTATTAAAATATGCTATTCTTCTCAAAGTCTGTAAGAAGAAGGGCATCATGTTAAGAGTGGTGTTCTGGAATTCACACCATAGTTTTGACATATCCACCACCCACACCCCTCTTCTCTGAAATCTGCACCCCACTCACAAGGCTGGGTCCTCTCAGCTGTTCTCGCTCATCTTGGCCACCTACTCTTGACCTGAGTCTCTGAACCAGCACCGGACACGGGTCTCAGCGGGGCTGGACTAAGATTTGCTGGTTCAGGTGTGGAAGGCGGCTTCCACGGCATCACGTAAATATGGGCCCTTCGGGGAGGCCAGGTTGGACCACAGGGGCAGACAGGACAGAGGGCAGGAGAGAGAGGAGAGGGGAAAGCAGAGGAGAGGGAAAAGCAGAGGAGAGGCAGGGAGCAGGGAGAGGGCTTGCGTCCTGCTCGGCTCTTCAGGCTGCCTGAACTCCATGCCACAGGTTCTGAAAGTGCCCCCTTTATGCTTGTAACAAATTCTTCTGCCTATTCAGCTACTCGAAATGGATTTCTATTACTTGATAAGAAAACCAGAATCCTGTCTAAAATAACTGTAAAGCCTCGTTATCAATTGCTAAACATTTCCAGGGATTTTTTTTCGAAGACTAAAATCAACTTTTTTTCTCTTTATTGAATATGCTGTTTCTAAAACTATATGTATGCTTTTAACATGAATTTGTATGTGTTTTGCTGCGGCAACTGGCTTCAAAATCAGAAACAAGGCAACCACCAGCATTTGGTATCAACAGAAAGAAGGCTCTCTAGGAGACGTTCTCTCCCATCTCTGTCTCAACAGTGAGCATCTCCAGAAGAGGTGGCCTGGGCAAAGGAATCAGTGTGGCCAGGCCTGACTCAGGTGTGAAGGCGGTAGGCACCGACTGCCCACAGCCCTGCCAGAGGGGGCCAAATGCAGTGACATCCTCTGGAGAACCTAAACACCTGACTCAAAGAGTGAGCACCTCTGAGAATGGAAAGCTCCTGGATGCTCTCTTTAATGGGGGCTTAAATCAATAACGTGACTTTATAGAGACTTCAAGAGAGAAACCGGGAAACTGAGTCAGTCTAACATGGCCGACTAAATCCTCCCCTCCCAGCCCCAGCATTAGTAGCACAGTGTAAAGAACAAGGTACAGACCTCCGGCTGGATGGCTTTAAACACGGGTATGTCCATTAATGTGATCTGGCTCTGCAACAAAAGAGAATCGGGGTTAGAAAATACTGGAAACCAAAAACAGCTGTCATGTGACTTTGAAACTATACAGAGTAATAAAGTAATAAAGTTGTAATAAAGTATGACGCTCAGAAGTCATACTTTCCCCCTTGAAATAAAAATCAAGATAGAGTAAAAAATTGGGTAAATTTTGAAAATGCCTCGCCCATCCCTTCCCTCTTCATAAATCTTGATCCACCCTTCCTCCTCGAACATGAGATGAACTTCCAATTTAAGAATTGAGGGACTTCCCTGGTGGTCCAGTGGGTATGACTCCACATTCCCAATGCAGGGGGCCCGGGTTCACTCCCTGGTCGGGGAACTAGATCCCGCATGCATGCCGCAGCTAAGAAGTCCGCATGCCGCAACTAAAAGATCTCGCGTGCCGCAACTAAGTAAGACACAGCGCAGCCATAATTAATTAATTAATTAATTTTAAAAAAAGAATTGATAATAGTAGTTTGGAGGGTGGGAGTGAAAGTAAGGGGAACATTTTAAGTTTGGATATTTTCATTCTATTTGACTTTTTGTTTCAAGTATGAATTACTTTTACAATTTTAAAAAGTTGCAGACACCATATTATAAGTTAGCATGCTAAACAGAGACACTATCTATTACTGTAAAATTTTTTCTTTTTAAATTGTGGCTTATAGAAAGTGTACGTTTCTTCTGAAGCCTAAGCCTCCTCTAAATTATATGGTAAAGTGCTATTCAAGATGCATCCACAGACCAGTGTTGGACCATGAACTGTTTATTCCACCAGCCCACAATGAGATAATTACGGAATTTGAGAGCAAGCATTTGGAAACTTTTATAGCAATCCCCATGACATTTTTATTGTATTTTTTTAAAGTATCAGTCATTAAGTGATGGGAAAGGAAAAAACTGGTCCTTTATCACAGCTAGCTTGAGAAGCACTAGTTCTGTCAATAGGGAAAACACACATCCAGTTAAAAATCTGTTCCCATCGCTAGAAGCTCATCAGGTGACAGTAAGAGAAAGCGTCATTGCTGACAGCTTTGCAGGCCAAGGCATGGACTGGGCTGACTTCACATGACCTATACCTATCTCCATATGTCACATGGGATGCCAGGAACCAGTTAACAGATGCTTCTGTGACAGGCCAGGGAAAGGAGAGATGAGAGCTTCTGGATGCCCACTAATGAGAGAAGACACCTGTCCATTGTACACAGGGCATCTGGGAGGACACGATGCACTGAACGGACATGGGCTCTGGAATCCACAGGGCTTGGGCATGCGTCTGGACACCATAACTTAATAGCAATATTCTCTTTGATACATGACTTTAACCTCCCCCAGTTTCAGCTGCCACATCTAGAATATGGTGACAATAATCCCTATCTAATAGGATCGTTCTGAGAATTCAAGGCAAGAGGTACAGAATGCCTGGCACCTAATAGATGCCCTCTCTATATATGTATATGTGTACATATATGTGTGCGTACACATACAGGTGCCAGGCATTCTGTACCTCTTGTCTTGCATTTTCACAAAGATCATATACATGTTTACATATCATAATTTTTTTTGGCAAAAGAGGAGTCACATAGATGGGCTTATGTATTGGCATATGAACTTATGGTTCCTGCCCAATACATGAGCTAGGAAATAAGGGACCATTAATTTGTTTGAACATCCGTGCTTCAAAGTTGCTCTAAAAAATACTTAAAGGAGGGCTTCCCTGGTGGTGCAGTGGTTGGGAGTCTGCCTGCCGATGCAGGGGACACGGGTTCGTGCCCTGGTCCGGGAAGATCCCACATGCCACGGAGCGGCTGGGCCCGTAAGCCATGGCCGCTAAGCCTGCGCGTCCGGAGCCTGTGCTCCACAATGGGAGAGGCCACAACAGTGAGAGGCCCACGTACCACAAAAAAAAAAAAAAAAAAAAACACTTAAAGGAGGCTGTTACATCAAGTCAGCAAATACTGTCATGAGAAAAAATCTCGTGTCAAGAATACATTGGAGGGGGCTTCCCTGGTGGCGCAATGGTTGAGAGTCCGCCTGCCGATGCAGGGGACACGGGTTCGCGCCCCGGTCCGGGAAGATCCCACATGCCGCGGAGCGGCTGGGTCCGTGAGCCTGCACGTCCGGAGCCTGTGCTCTGCAATGGGAGAGGCCACAACAGGGAGAGGCCCCCGTACCGCAAAAAAAAAAAAAAAAAAAAGAATACATTGGAGAAAAATGGCAACACACATGGCATGTCAGCTGTAACCACAATCCAGGGCTTAGGTGCAGAATTGTGGTCACCTCTTGGCACAATTTAAAGGTGGTCCAAGATCACTGGATTTCTGGGAAACACAGGATGCAGGCCAAAGCATACCATCTCCAGGGCTGAGGAGGAGACGGAAATAAGGAGGCGGCTTCATCCCTCCAAGGGGCTGGTGCTCATCATGGACACTGAGGTGAAATGCCTCCACTAATGGAAGCTCAGCAGAGACGTGGATGGCACCAGGGAGTCTGAGCTCTTCCACCTCTGGGTCCACCCTCCTGTGGCAAGCAGGCCCTGGATGTCAGCACAACGTGAGTGGTTACTATGTGCTGAAGCCCGCGGGCTTGTGTGTCTGGCCCAGAGCTACAGGGCCCTAAGCTCCCTCCCAGGCAGTGCAAATAGACTGGCATTTCTCCTGCCAGACCCATGGAGATTGTTAGCGAAGTGCTCCTCACACGTGGATTAATTCTGCCATCCTGGGGAAGAGAAAGGCCTTGTGAAAACAGGAGATTTCAGCTGAGAGCTCACAGGGCCTTGGAAATTTCTCCCGCAGTTCAAGTTAACTCCCAATCCGGAAGAACCAGCAGGATGCTTGTAATGTCCCTTAGGAAAAGAACCAAAAGTCTGCTAATATGAAAATGAGAAAACTTCCTTTCCATCCTGCCATCAGTTCTAGGGTTTGCTACTGAATTTCCAAATGATGTATTAAAATAGTGACTTTATTTATTTATTTATTTATTTTTTTTTTTTTGCGGTACACGGGCTTCCTACTGTTGTGGCCTCTCCCGTTGCGGAGCACAGGCTCAGGAGCCATGGCTCACGGGCCCAGCCGCTCCGCGGCATGTAGGATCCTCCCGGACCGGGGCACAAACCCGTGTCCCCTGCATTGGCAGGCGGACTCTCAACCACTGTGCCACCAGGGAAGCCCTAAAATAGTGACTTTACATTTCATAGTTTTTTGGATGGTCCGAGTTTCAAATATTCTGATTCCCACTCAGACCATAAATCAGAAAATGTGTTCAGGTATTTTATTCAAGACAAACCACAACAGAGGACACGAGACTGAAAATAGAATGGTTGGTCCCAAACACACAATCAGAGGGTTTTCAGAAGAATCTCTCCTATTTCTATCTTCTCGATTCTGGCCGAAAAAGATGCAGTGTCCAGAGTAAGAATCCATAGACAGGTAGGTAAAATCATCAGATTATAAATTTCATGTCATTTTACTACAAAGCCAAACACACGTAGAAAAGGTTGCTGATGAGCAATCCTTCTCCAGAAGTTGGAGGCAGGCAGTTTTACCAAAAGGGAGGATGTGGGTAGGAGTGGGGACCGGAGGGCGAGGTCAGGTCCTGCCCCTTTTCACAGCTGGCTCCCAGGCTCCTAGGGGTGTGGCACAGCCTCAACAGAAACACAAGACAATGAGGCCCTCGTGGTTCCTGCCGTGGTGAGGGCACGTGCCTGTGATGAGGACACTCAGGAACAAGTCTCTTATGGCTTCTCTTTATTTTCGAAAATAAAGCCTTAATACGGGCTATCCAATTAAGCTAGTCACCTGGCAATGCCTTCCTTCACCCTAACCCCTTCTCCCACCTCCTCCCTCCTAGCCCAGGGCCCCCTACAAATCCATGATTTTTAAGGAAATGGCCAATCTCCACATATTACAGAACGTTTCTGTAGAGATGAAGCTTTCAGACTGGAGAGACCTAGTGGATCACGTCACAATACAGCCCTACAGAAAAAGAGGAGGTGGCTTTATGTGGATAAATGACAGCAAATTAGCCAAAAAGAAAACAAACTGGTTTTTGCATATGTTGAATGTAGTGCTTTTCCCTCTAACAGTGGCTGACTAAATCCCCTCTTCCCAGCCGCAACCTTATAGTATAAGGCTCTCCCCGAGTCCAAATAAACAAAGAAAGCTGTTGGCAAATCAGTGGTATGTCTTATAATAGAAGATATCTTTCAATTTGCATTTAGATCAATCCAAATGAGCCCCAGGAGGGCTCACGGAACAAAAAGTAATCAGCTCCAAAGATACATTCCTGCTTCTACTCCCAGAGCTGCTGTTTCTGACAATTTTAGAATCATAGTCAAGGAAATACAAATTAAAGAGGAAGACACCATTTGTGGTCCATCAGTGCCATCACAACTAATGGGACTATGAGTTGCTCAGTTCTTTTTGGAAAGTAATCTGGCAGTAACCCATAAAAAAAGAAGTTCTTAACATTTTATTTATTTTTTAATGTCAAACTTACAAAAAATTTGCGAGAATAATATGATAAACTCTATAACCTTTCACCTAGCTTCATTATTAACATTTGGCCTCATTTGCTTTATTTTTATGTATATAATTATACACATATATATCTATAAAATTATATACACACACACACATTTTTTCTGAACCATTTGAGAGTAAAATACAGATATTATGACTCTTCACCTCTTAATCCTTCAGCATTTTATTTCCCAAGAACAAGATGATCCTCTTACATAATGATAAAATTATTATACTTAGGAAATTTATCATTGGTACAACCGTATTATCTAATATACAGTCCACATTCAAAATTTGCTAATTATCCCAATACTGTCTTTTACAGCAAGCTTTTCTTCATCCAGGATCAGGCACTACGTTTAGATATTATCTCCTAAAAATTGAAATGAGCATACTATTGACACAGCAATACCAATTCGTACAGAAAGAAAAGCACTGGTATATAAGAATAGAGAGAGAGAGATCTACATT